GCTGAAAGATCCAGGATATTCAGCTGCAGAATTTCTAGCAAGAATTGGGATTAAATAATCTTTTATGCTAAGGGTACAAAGATGCTCTAGTTGTTTATCTGCTGGCAATCATAACATTCAACAATCAACATCCAAAATACATCAGAACAACAAAGCACAGAAATTCCTCTTCCCTGATAAACTTTTAAATGCCAGCTTCAATGTGAACTCTTACCCTAAACGTCTCTCCAAGAAATGCAACACTCCTCTTTTGTCACTGGACACCAAACATATTGTAGTGTATGAAACATTTGCTAATAGAGGTGCCTAGAAATCATTCTTCAAGTCCCATTTCTGCTCGATTTTGAAGAATTTGGGATGTAAAATCATTCTCTGGTCTCTCCAAAGATGATTTCTACCCATATCTGGAAAGTGAGTTTTGAAGTTAATTTTTTCTCAAGTAGGTAGAAAACATCTCCTAGTAACAGTCCAATCCAACTATTGCCTCTCTTGAATAATTTAATATCATTGAAATATGTTGGGTTTTTATATTATTAATTTTTTTTTTCCATTAAATGCAATCTGATTTTCTTCTCCTTCTCAGAAAGCATCTTTTCAGCCATCAGAAAGTCATATGCTTGCTAGAATAGGCTAAACTGGAAATCCTGGAACAAGCATTTTAAAGATTTTATGTTGAAGACAAAATAATTAGTCTAATACATCCTCAACTTGGCAAAAGGGACATCTAAAAATATGGAGAAAAAGGTTCCTACATATCCTACACACTGGGTTGGGTTTATGGCACAGAGGTGTATAAGTGGCTTAATCAGTTTTCATAGGTAAACAGAAAATAGAGCTCATTTGATGAGCCTTAACATGACAAATTACAGATGTTAATGAATGGTGCTTCATACACTATGGAAGCTGTAACAAAAACTTCTGCTTTCCAAATTCGGAGCTGCTGCTCTATTTTATTCCTGTTTCTAAAAGTCTTGCTCCTCAACTGCACACAGAGAATTAATCCAGTTTTAGAAGCCTTTAAAAGAATTCCCCTTTTAAGTTCCCCTCCACAAACCTGTAGAGAAAACAACATTCTTGGTGATAAGCTTGTAGTCTACAATGGAGAACTGTGGCAGTTCGATCTTTGTCACTCCTGTGACTGCATTATCACCCCCACGCCAGTAAAATTCAATGTCATCTGTTGTATAGCCATCTATAAAAACAGGAATAAACAAGTGAGATACAAATCTCTTCTGACATCATGGGGAAAAGTTCATTAACTCAAAACATATAAAATATATTTCTAAAATTAAGCAATTTATAAATATACAGACACAGGTCATTCCAAATAGAAATTCAAAAGGCTACTCTAGGTGCATTTTAATATTTGTTTGCTTTGTATTTTTTAAAAGATATATTACATGAATGTATTAACAAAACAGACCTTTAAAACCAAATTAGGACTGCCCACATTCCATCTCCATATAGCAGCTGTACATCAGCTTAAGGTAACTTCTGATCCTGAGGCTGGACAAAACAGCACAAGTAGTTTATAAAAAGCCCAAATGGCTTTTTATTTGGTTGTATTTTTAAAGATATCTCTTAGAAGGACTCTTTTTGCTGAACTGCCTATGAACAGTTTAGCTTTGAGTTGTCTAATCATACCAGGGCTCACACAAGAGAACTCCAGGATTTACATTCCACCTGACTGCCAAATGCTTCAGCATCACCCTCTGCCAGGAGGATGTGGTTCAGCTTCTCCCTGGATTCTCACAGCCTTCACACGAAGCAAGCAATGACAACTACTTAGGAGACAGGAATCCTTGGAAACTCCCACTCCAAAGCTCAAACTGAAGATTCCAAACCCTGCAGCTCTGGGTGGCTTTGGGGAGAACTGAGCAGAATCCCCTGCTGCTGAAGGGTCTTACATTGGGCAAATGATAACCTGAGACAGACCCAGAATGACAGGACTCATTAATGAAGAGAATTTCAGGAAGTCTCTTTAAGCTTTCATTAAAATAATTCTCTTTCCAAAAAGAATAAATTATCCCATTCATTTCAGTGTGGAGAAGGAGAGCAAAGAATATTACAGTCATCTGCACATGAATGCTCTTGTGTACTGATAAAGTACCCAAAGATAATTGGATATAAGTCTAATATCTCTAAAACATCTGCCAGAAGAGAGAATGGGCCTATTCATGTCTCTAGTGGATGTTTTGCAGCAAAGTCCAATTACCTGCAGCTATAATAAACTCCTTCTGCAGGTATCTGGGACTCAAAACAACTCTACTTATAAGTTAAAATTATTTAAAGACCAACCAATTTAAAGCAGTAATAAGAGTCTAGAAAAAACAATCTGCAGCTCTTGACAAGAAAAAACAAGAATTTATAGAGACAGTTCAATATTTCTACATGAGACACCACATGCTGGTAGAGCAGAAAGGAAAGCATACTAAACCCAAAAATGCTCCAAGTAATCTTTGCAAGAATATGAGTTTAGCACAGAACACGATTTGATTTAGACTGTAAATAACTGTTGGTTTACTATATATTAAATTGTATGTAGCTCTCCTGCCAGCAGAGAGCATCTGATTGATTGCTTTTCCCTCAATCATTTATATATCATCATCAGCACGATTTATTTCACGTTCAGAAAGTTCAATTTCTCATTTCTGTCATGCATCACACACTGGCAGTCACCGAAATCAATACATTGTCCTGGTAATATGGCACCAATCCTGAGAGAAGCAAAACATTCCCGACTCCCATTAACAGGACAGGGAGTTTATCATTCTGTATGCATTGAGGGATGACAGATGACGAAGCACTGTAGAGGAAAAACAAACAACTAATAGAACATAAAATAAATCCCCCTTCACATAGAAACTATAAAAGCACCAATTTTTTTCCAGCCTATTCAAGACAAGTCCAAAATAGGAAATTCTTCTAATACAAACAACCTAAAATGAAAGCTGTAACATTATTGACTGAAAACAAAAATATTTAGACACAAGACAATTATCAGAAACACCATACAATGGCAGAAAAGATTTTTCTGAAAATCTCAGGATTTACCAGGATTCACTGCCTCACAATGTTGCAGTTTATGACAGCCAGGAGATATTTCACATCTACACATCTAGGATGTGCCCTGTGTAGGAATTCGTTACTGACACTATGGCAGCACCTGGAGACTGAAGGTAAGGCAGCTGCTGACTTGTTTTTGGGGGGGTGATGAGAGGGAAATTACATAAACATGCAAAACAGTGAAAATGTGCCTAAAACTAAGGGAGGATTCTGAGGCCATGGCCTGACCTCTCTCTGTTCTGAACCATCAGCAATTTGTGTGAGCTGGGGCAGTACATGCACACATCCTCAGCCCTGACGAGGGGACACAGGAGACAAAAGCATCCTGAATCCCACCTCCAGCTGCTAAAGCTTATCCAAAGAACTGCTCCTCTAGTTACAACCTGTACCTGGGATTCTGAGCATTGAGAGCATGCAATTATAATGAAGCACTGCTCAGCTACTTCATAATTTTTGCTGAGCGGGTCCAGAGACGTGGTGAAAGCTGGGAGCACAGCCCTCACCTTTGATCACCTGAGCTATTTGTCTTTTGCTCACCAATCAAAAACATATGAGAACTCAATTGACAGCAGATTCTCGACTTAAAGACTATTACAAAGCAACCATTTACAAGATGAACAGCATATATCTGGTGGAGAATAACGGAGTTGCATTATACACGTGGCATTTTTGGGGAAAAAAATAAAATCACACATGTACATTACCATATACAAAAACCTATGGCCTCATAGGTAGGGAATGAGTAACAAGCTACTTAATTTCTCCTGCTGCTATCAAATGGATTTTTTTTGCCTAGCCACTCACAATATGGTAGCTTCCCAAAATAAAATGGAGAGAACTCATGTATGATATCTATACCCAAGTGAATGCTTTGATTACAACTATACAAGATATTGTTAGCTAGTAATCATAATACATTAATTTATATAAATGTAGGTCATAGACTTTCAGAGTAATTGAAGAACTTGACATCTACAGACCTTTAAAATGAGATGAATGCTATAAAGAAATATTAAGTCATTAATCCTGTTTGTGTAACAGACTGTAGAATACCTTTAGTAGCAATATCTGTGCATTTCATTTATTTTTAAACATAGAAACCACTACTCACTCCTTTTTCAAGACTTTCTTCAGCAGTTTTGCATTTACATAGAGTAAACAGCAAAATTAGTTATAAAATTGTAAGTAACATGCAAAGCATATTTTGAAATTCTGAAACCTTTCAGATTTCTCAAACTTGTTTCATTGCATCACTTCAGCCTTCACTTATTCATTCAAAAACATAGCCAGAAAGAGTAAGTTGGAAGTGTTTGAATTTGCAGAGATGTTTAAAGCTGAGGAGAACACAAGACAGGAGGTGCTGAAATCAGTGGGGTGATACAAGGGTGAGTGGGAAAAGCAGAGTTTGTGTGCCAGACCAATTGGAAAGAAGTACATCATACTTGTTTCTTTCTCCTCTTTCTTATCCCCTCTAAGTTCTGTCTTTCTGCATAAAACATTAAAATTCTTCTTACATTCCACTTCAAAGGCTTTTCCCCCTAAGGCTCTGAGGATTTGGATACAAAGAGGATGTACAATTCTCTGACTGCAGTGAAATTCAATTGATTTTTAGATTAAATTGGCAACATTCTCAAAAAACAGTCATCTTCAAGTTGTACAAATGGCTCCTTACTGGGGAGAGTAGAGTAGAGTAGGTCAAAGAAAGAGACAGAAACGTGATGCTGTAATTACTATATACAGCTATTTAAAAAAATAAAATGTTTTTTGATGAACAAATGAAATTATAAAGTTGATTCCAGGCCTTAGAGTGGGATTTCCATGATATTAGCAGAATCAAGTTTAATTTTTATGTAGACACTTCAAGCTGATTCTTACAGGAAGCCTGGTAACTTACAGAATAGGTATCCTGGTGGAACTCCTTAATTTTTTTTCCCCCTAATGATTTCACTGAAAATCATTCATACTTTAGAGCACCTCCTGCAAAATGCTTTCATAAATATATTTCCATGCTACAATATTTCTAGAAAAGAAAGAGAGATCAGAATCAGATAGGGAGAACTGTATCCATGCAATAATATTCAAAAACCTTTTATCTCCCGGAACACGGCAATTTCTCGCAATCTTTTTGCCTCTATAAGTTCAGTTACACCCACCAGCATGAATGATCTAAAAAGTTGTTGGGTTCAGCACTGTGGAGATCCTGCAAGCCCAGGAGCTCCTCGTGCAGCAGACACAAGAGTCTGTGGAGCAGAAGTGCCTGGAGAAAGGAAGGTCAGGGTGGCTGAGGGCACAGAGAGGTGCCACACATCAGAGCCAAGCTCCTCCTGGGCCCAGGGAGAACTGGGCACTCTCTGGGCACGCTGGAGCACAGCCCTTTCCCACCTCCTGCACACAAGGATGCTCTTCACCTGTTTCCTTCTGGTTTCCATCCTCCTTTTGTCCTGCAGACCGAGTGCCGTGTTTATGCATTAAATGTAGCCCAGAACACAATGAAGTACAACACATCTGGCTCAGTTTTATTTATTTAAATGGATAAAGTCCATGGATTTCCATCGCTGTGGAAACCACATATCTGATTTCTGTAGGCAAACAAACAGCTTTAGATAATGTTTTATACAGTACACAGAAACATCCTATCCCCCATTTCTGCCACAGTTTGCATTCCCTAACCCACTTACTTCATTTAGCAGATGACCTTTTCTGAGGAGAAGGTTGACAGCATTATGTCAGCACATTGATTAAGTCTGGATCATCTTGAAGGTTATTTCAGTGTAGCATGGGTGACATTAAACAAATATGTGAGGAAAACATGGGTGGCAACAGTTGTCAATATAAAGTTAGAGCTAAATGTATTTCTCACATTCACAACTACTAAAATTATGAAGAAAGAAACCCTTAATCTTTAAATTTAAAAAACCAGATTAGTATACATTAGACTTGTGTAGTCAAGTTTATTATTTCCTTATTACACCTACCACAGAAAAAAAGGAGTTCAGGAACACACAAGTAACTACATGAGACACAACAAATCTGTCCTAGACATAAAAGATAGTGGGAAGCTTAGTTTCATTTGCAATTAAAAGTAGACTATAGTAGAAAACTCTGAAACTCAATGTTAAGAAACCCAATATAATGAAATATTTTTTAAATCTCAATTTTATTGTCAGTGACACAAAACACAAGAAATTTACTTTCACTTCTCGCAGTGGTAGATCTTCAAAGATGCAATAGGAAATTGCAATATGCAACCATGAAGATGATACCAATCATTGCTGAGGAAAGCAACATTTAGGCAGAAATAAATTTCTATTGAAATGTGAACTGATGTAAATATGATAAAAATGAATACATGAATACTTAAGTGATCTATATCAATGCCATTAAATTAAAAAATGAACAGAACTCAAGTGAAAATAACCATTGACAAAAAACAAGTGCAATCAGGTATAGGCAGGCAATAGGCTTTTTTTTTCCCAGAACTATCAACAAAGTGAAAATAGAAATTATTTCCTATGTTTAAAGACCAAAGATTTTACTACATAATTCATAGCTATTTTCTTCCACATTTAAATAAATTTTAAAAAGTCAAAGTTAAATAAAAAAAACCACCTTAAATATCACCCAAGCATCAGAAATTGCTTACAGGAAAACAAATGTTTACCCTAGTTCACAAGATTTAATCTGAATCAGAGACAAAGCACATGTCCCAGAAAGCTGAACTGGGAGATCTACATGGAAGAGAGAACTCAGAATACCCAGAGCCTACTCAAGGTCTGCTTGAACCTTCTGCCACACCCAAACCCTCCAGTTTAAAGAGCATGGTAGTGAAGTGCACCTACTGTAATGAACATGGCTAAAAATGTTCAACTGAACAAGTCAGTAAATGAACGATGCCTCTCATATATTAACCGCATCATTTTATAAAGTCCATAAATTTGCATAGATAATCTCATCAACCCCACAATCAAATATGAAAACTCCTCTGTGTTTTTAAATGAGGGATATGTAAAAATAATGACTCAAATAGGAAGTACTGTGTTCTTTTGGCATAATATTAAATAGCCAAGATGGGTGCAGAGGGAACAATTTTTGGTGATTTGATGCACAAATACACATACACACACTGAATTTTTCAACTGTATTCAGAAAAGATATTTTTGAAGATTGATGGAAATGCCTTAATCCTCAACTCTTTGTATAAAACTAAACATTGTTTCTGCTCTTTGAAAAGAATTATTGGAAACTGCCTTCTACTTTTCAAAGGCCATATTTCAGGAACAGAACTTTTATAGTAAAATGTACATCCATAGTGAGTGGGTGTAAATGACAAATAATTTTCTCCTCTCTCCCTTCAGTAAGGACAAGGATCATGTAGGGAAACCAAATACTTATATTTGCACCCTACCATGAATTTCATCACTGCAGCCTGTACTTCATCTTCATAATCTGAGCCGATTCCTATACTCTTATCTCATTTGACTACATTAACTAATTTATGCATAGGAAAATTGCTGTCCAAAATAATTATATGTAATCTGAAAATCATGAAGGCCACTGAATATTGTTCTCTATTAGACAAACAAATTTCACAATTTGCTTATTTCAGAGAAGACTTCATGAAAAGACTGTGTATGCTGTTTGCTCTCTCGTCTGATTTAAGAATTGGTCTTTTTGAAATAGAAATGAGGGGTATAGCCAAACAAATGAATCAGCAAAGCATCATCTCCACAAGCTCAATTTTTAATACCTTAGATATGTTCTAAGTTTCCTGCAACCCACTACCAGCCTACATTCTGAATGCTGATGTACATTAAAAAAAAGAGAGGAAAAATGAACAACATCTGGCAACCTTAACCTTATTTATAAAATTGCATCAATACTCCACTCTGCTTAATTATTCCATAGCTGTATTAAAAATACAAGGCCACAAGGAGAAAAATGCAACCTGTAGAAGAAAGTCCTTCTGTTTGTGGCTGTGCCATTTTTTTTCAATTTAGAAAAAAATTTATTCATTATGATGTGCTAGCCTGCAATAAAGTGTGAGGTAATATTTTGAAATATTATTCCATCTTTGCTGGAAGGACATCACAGCATCTAAACCACTTCTACTTTTAGGTAAAAATCTAGTTATGAAGGTTTAGGAACATTGGTCTCATAGACCGTCCAGGAGGAACATGCTAGAACCTGTTATTGACAAGAGTGAAATGTTCATTAGAATGTAAAATGTAAAAACCCCCACAGATTTTCACATATGTAGAATAATGATTGGGTTCGGACATTTAACTGAACCTGCAGAAATTAATTTTATTTTAGTAATGAGCAAGCTATAATTAATGCTCCTCCTAAAGTCATCCACATGTATAGATTTGGGAACTTTTTCTTTTCCATCTGGATAAGTCTTCTGTCATCTACAAGATTTTCAAGGATAATTACATCCATCTACCTTTGATGTGGAGATCTATTTATACAGTACCATGTGAATGAAGTTTATAGGAACTTTAATTATAGACCACGATATTGTTAGAACTACATCATTATTTTCTAAAAATTGCAATAGTTCTGTAACATTTCTATGTCCTTCACACAGCTTGGTTGGTATCGGAAACCACATCGCTGCCTCCTCAAAATATTTTAGTGGGAGCTGTGTGCCTCAAGGCTCAGAGGACTTTCCTGCAGGAAACTCTGTTGTGACACCTCTATCAGAAAAGACAGCACAGGTTTGTTGGCAGTATCCCAATTACTTTCCGAGGATGCTGAAAGAGGCCAGAATAAATTCATTTGACATCCATCCCTCCAGCTTTTAGAAATGGCATACACAGAAAAGTTCTTTGGCGGGTCACAAGATGCTAATGGCTCTGGATGGGTGTGCACAAGGTAGCAGGAATTGCAAGTGTTTTAACAGGAGATGGGGACAAGGCCAAAGGAGGATGAAAGCTACTTCAGCTCTCTGCATTTACCTGGCACAGGAGACTAACCCTGAGAGCCTCAAACACACCGTTCTGCAGCTACTGCTATAAATCCATGGCAGATGCAACCTCATCCCACAGTTTTTTTCACTAGAAAAGTTCACTTGCCCTAGTCAAGTCTGAAGTTTTGGCTTTTATGTACCACAAAGCTGCATTAAAGCCTTCTCTATAGGTCATCTATACTGTTTTACACAGTATCTGCTATTGTCCTCTGATCTGCATTGATGTACCATACTCGATACTTACTAGGTTTCATTACCACATTTTAGAAGTTTATAAGTCCACAAAATTGTCTCTAACTTTTCTAACACTCACTTTTCTTCTGAGCTGCAGCTCCAGGCATTGCTGGAGGCTATGCCTATTTAATGAAGTAGATGTGACTGAGACAAGATAATGCCAACCCTTAAAGGGACTTTTCCCTGCAAGCACATTTTAACACACTGTTGACTTTTATTCTGTTTTCCTCTAGCTCTAGTATTGTAACTGTGTCAATATGCAAATATGCATTACATAAGGTTGTCCCTTGGGCTGGAAAAACAGGATATCTGCATATAAATGTTCATTAAGAATAATCCAGCATAATATTTTAACATACATAAAAGGAAATCAGCCTCAAATACAAAAGTTAAAGAACTACAACTTTTTGCTGAGAGTCCCATGTGGACTGCACCTACGTCGTGCCATTGAAATAAATACCCTTCTTCAGAAAAAATGAAGAGAAAAACACATGAATAATACAATAATGTATAACAAACCATGCAGCAATGGAATATGTTATAAGTAGTGCTTCATAATCACTATACTTTCCTGACAACTGCACAGAATCATTCTGAAGGAGTTATGAGTCAAATTCACCTCCAAGCTACCAAAAAAAAAAATCCCACCAAAATAAAAATGCAACTATTGTAATTATTTTCAAATAATCCTACAGTATTCCATACCTGTGCCTGTCTGTTCCTTATTTAAACTGCCTTTTGCCTTACACAGTGACATTCATTCCTAGTTTATCCTTACAACCCAAGCATTATGTGCATCACACATGCCATTATCTACATCTATATTTTTATTTTCTAACATTGTCTTTCCTTTGGAAGTGCTATCCTGTATGTGTCTGTGGGCTTTATGAATCAGAAAAGTTGCTACTTGTAGGGAACACATTGCTTCAGTGCAGAAGCAAGGAACTGAAAGTACAGTGAGCTGTGCTACCATAAATATGAAAATTGGATTCCTCTTCTGCTCTGCAGCATCCTCAGTGCCCAGGAAGCTGTCAGGGCTCGGGGACACATCCCTGAGGGAGGTATCTAACAGCCACCCTGCATGGTTACCAAACCATTGTCCTATCTGTGGTGCTCCCAAAGTTGCATCACTAAATTATTGCTGTAGCTGTTTATGTTACAAGTATGTGCGTGCTGTAGTAATTATTAGGAAATATCTTATTACTGTGATGGTATAAAGCAACAATTTTTCCAAAGCTTAAAATGAAAGGCCTCTTGTGTGGCAAAGAATAAATGTGAAACAAAAGATCTTCAGAAGGCATTGAGTTGAAGATAGTGACCTCTCTCATTTGAGTCTTATCATGTCATTCTGTCTCCAGTTAGGAGAGGGAATACGAAAAACTGACCTGTCCCAAGTGGCTTTTAACTGCCCCTCTGACTTGGAACATCTCAGGGAGCTGTTAGACAAATGGAAGGTATGCAAACCCAATGTTTTCCTGGGCACAAGATCTCTAATAACATCAATTTGTGTGTAGAATGGTGAAGCTAAGAAATCCTTTCATTTCCTTCCCTGTACCAAGCATAGATACAGAAAGACAGACTGTGTCTGATTCTTGCTTTTTAAAGTATCAAGAGCTATTGAAACAAAAAAGGGTTGCCAAGTCAACGGGGAAAACATAGGATACTTTTTCTTCAAGGAAACCAAAAACCTTCCAGGTCTCCAAACTCATAATAATGCAGTGCTGTTTAAAAATTGTCAGTGCAGATACATGCCAAGGACAAACCTGAAAGGGATGAACTGGAGCAGCTCTCCCTGGAGGCCCATTAGACTCTTCCTTTGGATGGAACTGCCTCCCCATTAGTAACAATAAATACTAATGAGTACCATAAACAGAAATGCATGTGACCACAAAGAATGGGTCGTCCCCAGCAGAGCACCCAAATTCCTGTGGTCACCATGGTGAGCAGCAGCAAGCCAGCAACAGGAGGATGGAGAGGAGCAGCTCTCTGAGAGGATGCACCACATGCAGCTGTGGAGGTTTGAACGACCTCTACACCTCCTTGGGCACACCCTAAACTCTCCAGGCAGCTTACCGTACACACGGCTGAAATCACCAAAAAAAACCTTCCAATATCCCATTACAAAATACATCAGCATCTATAGAACACCTAAAGGACCTAATAATGTTAAATGCTAAGTTTACTTCCAAGGTTTATTTGTTTTGATTTTGGATGAAATTGAACACATAGAAGGCAGTCTGCCAGCTCAATTACAATTTAAAAAAAATTAAAATCTGTGCTGCACTTTTGCCCTCTTCACTAACCCAAATGTATTCATGAGCTGTCCATTACAGCTATTTGATGCCCCATTAAATATAGAAGATAGATCTATATTGTTAACATTGTCTGTAGGATCACCGCACTTGGAAGAAGGTTGGTAGGTGAAGATGTGGAACTAATATAATGCAAACAGTTAAAGAGGTTACTGGCACACTAGCAAACAATCAATTTAAAACAGTAGAATACGTTAAATTTTTTTTTTCTGAAAACATATTTAAAAATATGCCATATTTCTGTTAAGGAGTATACATTAAGGAGTATGCCAACTACCAATTAAATGCAGCCATTTAATAGCACAATGTAGCCTCACACAACAATTCATAGCATACATTGAGGACTGCAAAATCCAATTAAAATTACAGGGGGAGTTTAGCAGGGCAGAATTTAAATTAGCAAAGATAAAATTTTTGCCAGAAGACTGTGGCTAACACCTGTTCTGAAGCGTAAAGTGACAAGGAATATGTGGTAACAAACATTTGGGTCATAATTCATATTGCATTGCTAGACAGTTCCTCCAGGGGCATTTAGACCCTTGTTTCCCCCAGCCTGGGGAAGTGCTGCTTCCTCAGCTCCCAGTGCTGCTGCAGCAGCCTCTGACACATCCCAAAACCCTAACCCAGCCCAAGCAATACTGCTGCAGCACTGACATGCTGATTTTCCTGTTTCTGCACACAGTTTAAATCCCATTTATTTGTACTTTATTTGTATTTATTTATTAATATTTATTTATACTCCCCTCTGTTGAAGGAAGCTGCAGAGCTTCCTGCAAGCAGCTGTGAGTGGCCACAGGACACAAAAGTTGTGGCCACAGCACCTGGCAAGTGAGCCTGAGGTCCTTGCCTTGGTGAGAGAACAAGGTCAGAATGGCAGAGAGGACAAACTGAGTGAAACTGGCTTCCTCTGGGATTTGCCCAGAATGCCCCAGCTGGGAGGATACTCAAGAGCACCTGCCCAACCACATATGCAGAATCAAAAAAACCTCAGTTCTATCATATTTTCCAAGTTTAAGATTTTCTTAAATTCTTATATTTACCTTTTGCATACTCAAAGTAGCAATGAGGACACTTACTTACCTAAAGATAATTTAACATCTCCTGAAATATAGATTACTAATTTTTTAAGTGTTCCCAACAGTAGAAATCTTAAAAATTAACTAAAGCCATGAAGTGAATCATCCCCATTTTCTGTTATATTTTTCTGGTATTTCTTTTACTTAGGAGTGTTGGTATTTGCTTTGAACCACCTGCAAAGCATCCCTGGAAACACACCCTTCATTTACAATTCTAGAAGGGATATATTGTCTAATAAGAGCTTTTTCTACATCTGGCAAGTTGTTACATTCACTAACATTGTGAATTAAAATCCAAATTCAATTCTACTATCTTTAATGACTGCAGTTAATGTTTTTCTCTAGGTTCACTAGCAACTTCATTACCATTAACATCAAGTCACTGGACTACCTCACTGATGAAAGATGAAGCCACTGATTAAGCTGTTCATTATATCCATCAGCATTATGAGTTAAAATCCTATCCTATTAGTGGTGAAAGGAAAGGAATACATATCAGAAACCCAGCATTAATGAACCCTACTGTTAGTAAATCACATGTAGTTACAGTGCAGGTCAAATAAAGCATCAAGATTAAAGCTTTGAGCTTCGACAATTACGTAAATAATGAGAGAAAAAATAATTTTTAAAACCTCGAAGCAAAGAGAGTTTAAAATTCATCTTTGCCTCAAGGCTGCCCTTTGAATAACAGAAATATGGAGCACGATTACTGTAATTCTCACATAAGAATTTTAATTCAATTTAGAAAATAAAAATTTTCATCATAAAATGAAGATGTATGCGAGGTATTGCTTTCAATTAATTTTACTGGAAGCAAAATAAAGCCTTATGATTTGGGAAATTGTGAATTAAATCTATATATTATTGGTTCTCTAAGTTAAGTGCTACATCTTAGGGTAGATGAAATAAAAGCAATTACTGGCAATCCTGAATGGAAAAAATGCTTCAGAAGTCCATCTCACCAAACTATCCAAAGCAATAGAAATTACTGTATGTTCTGAAGTGTTTTATTAAATATATTCAGATTTAACATATCTGATTTATTTTGAAAACATGTTTATTTTTGTAAAGTTGCTTTTACACTGGCAAGAAAGCCCCCAGGGCATGATATGTGCTGTGTGATTGCCATTTGTTTGTGCACTGTGGATTTCCTTCCAACCCACTTCTCACCTAGAGCATTTGGTTACCCTAACTTAGCTCCCAGTCAGCAAGAGACTTTAATTATCTGCTGAAAAGGCTGCGAGCTGTTGATTGAAGAAATAACTCAATTCCTCTGTGGGCACCGAGCATCAATTATAACCTGCACCTATAAAATCAGGTATTTTGCTTCTTCCTACAGCAGCACTGCTTTTAAATCTACGCAATATGTAGGAATCAACAATTTTAAGAGACTAAAATATTACTTAAGATACCTTAAAGGGGATTTCAGTTCTAAAAACTGAATTGCTCTAACTCTGGCAGATAAAAGGCACCCTAAATAAATAATTGTAGCATAGGTCTGAATCTCCACTTTCCTTATTGCCCTGTCTCCCAGCAGAGGAGATTTAATTGCTGTTATGCTGATCATTATTGCTATTTTTTTCCCTATGCTCTCATTCTGCACCACTGGGCTGTGATACTAAAACAAGTCTAAGTTTACTGTTAGTAACAGACCTGGAAATTAAATGTGTACAATGCCCCACTCTGCTCTGGGAGTCTCAGAGCTAGGAAGACAGGCAGGTGCCAAGAAAGGAAAATCCCTCTGGAGCTTAGGCTGGGACTCGGAGTCCTTTACTCATTTCACTGTGTAACGGCTGAAGGATCTTTACAGACTGATACAGGCAATCTGTATCAATAAGAGAAATCCTTTTATTTTATTTTAAAGTGAAAAGTAACTTCAAGGGGAAAGGAACACACTCTAACTTTCCTCTTGCTTATATTCAATAACTATGAAATGAAAATTACTGGAAAATTCTCACTCATCTAATTCATCCTTCTTATTAAAATAAGTAATGTGTTACAAGCTTTCTGTCTTTGTTGAAGTAGGTTGGTGTTGATGCTACCTGACAATGAACTTCCTATGCTTTTAACTCTACCTAGCAATAATAGCAAAATAATAAAACAATCTGTCAGCAGTTCACTTCAGCTGCTCAATAGTTTAAACAGCAAATAAGTGTTTCTGTGGGAACACAAAGAAACTTCTGAGTCACTTACAGGCAGAGATCACTCTTGATTTAGATACAAGGCTCTACTTTATAATGGAGCTTTTGAAGACAGACATTCCGCCTCTTCCATTGATTTTCTGTACATGAACTTGAATAACTAAAGCAAAGATTTCTGCATTTATACATATATCATTCACCTAGTACTTTAAATAGGGAACTGATGCTTTAGAATAAACAAAAATGCTACCTCACATTAGTTTATATACACATATCTGTATTTATATACACTGCACATCTTTAACACAGACCAATCTAAAGGATTTTGACTTTATATATACAATTTTTCTTTCCCCACTGAGTATTTACAAATTCCTCTTATTTCCTTAAGGATATACTGAGCTACTGGAATATACTGAAAAATTTGCAATCACTAAGAAATCAGAAGTTCCCCCACCCTCAGACCCCTTCCCCCTGTCCTAATGATGTAATCGAAAAAAAAAAAAACCACTATTTCAATTCATAGAAAATTATAATAATAATTCCTATTGTTTATTTTCTGTCTAGGAATAACGACTAAAATGGATTAGTTGTTACTCAAGATTGGAGAAGTCCCACCCAATTGGCATTTAGATAGCTTTGATCAATATGCAAGGCTGAGAAGTCACTTTAACATGTTATTTTTTCACATAATATTGTTTCTTCTTCATCCTAATAATGAATTGCCTTAATAAGAAAAGGCTTATAACTGAAATGGGCAAGGCAGCAGTAAGAAAATTGAAAAATGTCCAAGGAATATGCTTAAATACATGACTTTGCCTTTATTCATCACATATTTATCAAACCCATCAGATTTAATCAATAAACGCTGGGTTGATTCATGATTTACCAGTGCTGATCAGTATTCTATTACTTTAGGCTCTGCCTTGGAGACTTAACATATGTGGCTTTCACACAGTGAAGGCAGCTATATCAAATTTAGCCTCTTTGCAAAATCAGATTTAAGTGTCAGTGATCTCAAGCAAATACGTTCCACACATTCCACATCAATTTTAGATTTTACTTTGTAAAAAAGGTAGGTAATAGCATAATCTCATCATTTAAAGTTGTAACCCCATGTCAAACTGAAAGCCTCACACTGCATCAGATCTCCTCTAGATCCTCAGCCCTCAGTTGTTCTGACCTCTTACCTGTGCTGTCAAGATTTACACTACAGGAATAGGAAAAAAAAACCAAACAAAACCCCCAAAAACTCCCAACAAACCCCTTTCAAATCCATCCTACAAACCAGATGAAAACTCTGGCTGCTTGCAAAGATGAGAACATAACTGTAGCATCCAAACCAGCATGACCCTGTTGTGAAAGTTTTCCTAAAAACTCTGACCCGAGGGCTTCTCACTGAAATATTCCAGATCCTCATGTCTCCTTGAGCTCTGGTACTATTCATAACATGGGCACAAGGGCTTGTTCTGATCTCTGGTTTGGGGTTTTTTGTGGCTTTTTTAGTTCTTCAAAGGAGTGTCTGTTTCCTGTGACGAACATTTATTCTCATACTTGATATTCTACAGTTTTATAAGAAAAGACAAAATATTCTCTATCCTTGTGGAGATTGATTGAGACACAAAAGCAGGAATTTTTTTCCCTCTTTGCAATCCCATTCTCACATGCAAATTCCCTCAATATTCAAAGTGTTTGATTTTAATCAGTCAACTTCCTTTACAGTGAAAAATAAAAGACACTGAATGTTTCAGATAAAAGAAGGCTGGCTTGAGTGTTCCTGAAAATTACGTTCTTTTAACTAGCTACACGCCAAGTAATTCTCTGTTTTGTAAGAGAAAAAAAAAAAAGTTTAAAGTCAAAGAAATAGGATAAAAAAAATCAGGAATTCATACATATGTTACATAAATGCAATCAGGTAGAGTGCATTTAATCCCCTGGATTTCAATATACCTGCTCTATTTTTCAAATCTTGTTGGTATTGAAAATCTCTTGATTACCTGAAATAATTTACTTTTCTTAAAAATCCATACATAAATAATACTGGATTTATTTTTAAAATGTTATGATATGATAAAAAATATTTTTAAATAAATGTAGCAAAAATATAATATAATCTGTTAATTGTATTCAAGCAGGCCAGACAGCGTATAGCTTGTAATCTTTGGGGAGAGACAAATCAGATTAGTGTGCTCCCATACACTGCCTAATGCTATCAATTTCTGCTTGGAATCTGTAAGAAAGGCAAAAAAAATAATTGGAAAATTAATGTGCAACAGTCTATAGTATTATCTCATTATGCAGTTTGCACTAATGGGGCCAATCTGTGCACGGTGTGCTTTCTCTTGGGGAGTCATTAGGTGCCTGAATCAAAAAACACGTGGAATAGAAAAAGCTTTACAAAACCAGCTTTAAATAAAGAGGTAATTACATGCAAAGGGCATAATGTTGACAGCAATTATTGCTGCTAACCTGGAAATACAATTTACTTAAGCAGTTCTCCCATAGTAGTACTGTTTTCTATGAGAAGTTGTATTATATTTCTCTTCTCTTACTATGTATGGGCAGCTTCCTCCTAATGCTCTATGCTCCTAACAATCATTCTAGATTGCAACAGCTTCAACTCATGCAGTGGCTTTGCCAGAGAAACATTAATACAGTATAAAAAGAAACTATAGCACAGATAAATGTCAGCACAGGTCAGAGAAGTAACCAAATTAGTAGTAAATGTAGAATCAGAAATCTGTTTCCCAGTCTGGTGCTTTTCCACATCAGCTACTCACTGGGATACAACTCTCATAAATGAGCTTTCTTTAAGAGATACACATTGTCGTCAACTTAATGACAACAATCAGTGACCTGACCTACAAAAAGACATGCACCTTGCTCTACACCTTAGAGCAGCACTCCTTAAATAGGAATTTTCATCAGGTGGAGTGTCCAGGCCTGGTGTCAGTGTGCACTACTTGGAACGGGGTTACACACCTGAGATATTTAACATTTCCTGCTCCTTTTTCTTGTAACAACTGTACTCACATATCCATCAGCATTCAGTCACCAGTTTTCTCTACAGAACACAAATACAGCCAAAGAAATACCATTCATATGAGTATGGCATGATGTCACCAGGTTGGCTTTGAATCCCTGAGCCACACAGGAGTGAATTGCAGGGGCTCTGCTCAATGTGTAGGAAACAGTTCTGAGTGATGGGCTGTGCTTAGATACCCTGGAAATTGAAAAGAAAAACCAAGGGAAAAGTGCACACAATGTCAGAGACACTAAGCCTTGCTTCTGACATTATGGTATTAGCTCCTCTGGCCCAGATGACTGATCATTCCAAAGATTACTTTGGAATTAAGAAATTTTCTCTGAGAGAATCTAGAGATATAAATACTTGTAACACATAAGAGGTTTTTTTCTCCTGCGATAAAAGAAGATGACTGAAGACACACAGTCCTTCAAATCATGATTATACCTAACCTGAAAGCATTCTCATTTTGAATGAATAACCATGATTAAAGCCTCTTAGGATTCGAATATATTTATATAAAAAGACAGGTACTCATGGGCGAGTACTAAGACCCATGATCAATTGTCCAGATTATAGAGTTGTGGCCTGGATATAAAATGTACATTTCATAGACACAGAATATGAGGATTTCAGGAAATTTCCAGTTTCACCAGCAGAGTAAACACAACAGAATATATATTAAATGCTCATAGTGCAAAAGGACAAAATTAACATACTGAGAATTCTGAGGATTTTAACAGTGCAGTTCAGGCTAGAGAGAGATTTAGCATCCCTAAATTCACACTGCAGATCTTGAGACTCAGACTAGACACCTGGACCCCATATGCAGAAACTGGAATTAACCTTCAGAAGGGTACATGCCCTTGTAAGTCAGGTTTGGTGACCTGATTTCAGGGGATGTACAACTTCCCACTGGCAATCCAGGCAGACCAAACAACTTATTTAGCTAGATAATCGTCATCAGGTGATCTAAACACTAATTCATCAGGCAAATGCAACTCTAAGGCTTTTTTTTTTATTATTTCTCTTAGCATTTAGAAGAGCTTAGAAGAATCACAAAACACAAAGACATTCTCCTGAACTGAAGGATGGAATTGCTTTTAATATTGTTCTCATAATATAGAGGAAAAAAAAATTATGCAGACACAGCCAAGCCACAGTCATGAAAAAAATATGTTCAATTTGCCTGTGAACTGTGCCATTTTTATATCTGCTGTGAATATTAATAGTCCAAAGAATTGTAAAGCATCACAGATCCACGGAGTGTGCTGCTGGCACATACCTGAACAACATGAAAAGGACTAATATCCTCCAACATCTTTCTTCTCTAAACTATATGAAGAATAAAACATGGGGGCTCTAAAGCCCAACAGGAGATCCCTCCAGTTGAAATCTGTTCCCTTAATTCACTGTGCTGTACACTTGCATTATGACACAGCAAGGCAATCACATGGCATTTTACCCACACAACTCTCCCTAGCACACATAACAAGCCAACAGAGACTTATTGCTCTCTCAGATACAGAAAATATTTCAACAGCTAAAAGTAATTGTGTACATGGGTATCTTTTGTGGCAGGCCTGTGCTTTCCTGTTACAGCATCTACAAAACTGGGCATTGATTTATCTCACACAATCATGAGCGTTAGAAAAAAAAAGAGAGAGAAAGAAAGGGAAGAATATGTGAAAGAGCTATAATAATCAGTTGCATACATCTTTCAAGGTACCAGAAAATCACTCAGAACAAATGTGATCTGAATACATATGTAGTAATAACTTTCCTCCTTATTTAAAAGGATTCTCTTCCACAGCAATGTATCAGACAGGTTTTCCTCAGTCCTCCTATAACCTATCTAAAATAACTATCAAATGAAGAACATAACTTTTAAAAAGTGGTGGAATCTATGTGGACAGCTCTACAAGTAGCCAGAATCCAGCATGCCTGATGACAGTGGAGAGCTGAGCCCTTCCAGCCCCGGCTGTAACAGCAGCAGGAATGAGGGCAGGTTTACTTCTTGTGGGAAAAAACGGTGGAGAGACTTCTGCTCTCTGTCACAGTATGTAACTAATATTAATAGAATGTGTAAGTATCACCACTGACATAAAGGATATGAAAAAACATTTTACCTGTGTCAAATATGGGATTTTGACAAAATCAGATGGTTCATTAGTGATTACAGCCCATCACATTAAAAATTGTGTCCATTAAAAAGTATTTTAATTAAAAACCCTTCCATAACACAAAAATACTTTAAACTTAGGACCAATATGAATTCTGGAACCACACTGCAAAATTTCTTTCTTCACTTCTATAAAACCAAGCAGCACTGTAATAAAACCCATAGTTTATAAACAGCAGCACATAGAAATAATTCAGGATTTTTCTTCAGCATTATAGACAGAGCTTTTTCAATTCCAGTTCCACTGGAAAAGACCTTCACTTGGTTATTCCCATATGCAATTATTTCTGTCAGAGCTTTCTCTCAACAAAGTTTTGTGTTTCACTTGTATTTCTATCAGATCTTTTTCCTGGGCACATGTGCTAATGCCCAGAGCAGAACAGAAGTCAGCAGCAACACAGACTTCCACAGAGCAGGCTGCCAGTCTTCAGCATGCTTCAAACTAGATGCATAATTTCTCTTTTTCATATACATATAGAGAAAAAAAAAATTTTGGTTCTGACACTAAGATTTTTCTGAATCAAACCTGTTCTTTGCATTGTTCTACAAAGATGGCAACTTTCATTATCCTAATAAATTAACAAGAAAAGACATCTCTGTTGCAATCATGTTACATAAACATCTCACCGATAGAGATATATCATTAGATTATATTTTAAGCTGCCATATGTCACTAGAATTCATGCTGAAACCACCTTACAATGCAATCTTTATGACAGATTTCTGTGGATTAACCAGCTTCCAGTTTTCTCTGACATTTTGTTAAAACTTTAATACTCTAAGCACTGTCGTTTGACATGCTTTCTGCCACTACTTTTACCAAGCACAAGCATATGCTACAACACAGCAAAGGCGGCTCTTTGACTTATGTCTTTTACAAGAAAAATATTTTGCACTGACACTGCACATTGTTTTAAAAGTACTTAGCTGAATAATACATTATTTTATACATGTGGGACTTTGCTTCCACATGTTTTGTTACTTTTATTACAATCTGTTTAGATAGAGCATGTTAATAGTATGAAACTGACTCTTTAAATGTGCCATCACTGCCTTTCCCTATCATAGCAGGAACCTGCTAAGGTTAATCACAGGAAAGAACTTCTTTACCTAAGGAACAGGGCAGAATACAACACCCATGAAGTGATGATGACTGAAAACAGAAAACAGGCTCTGTCCCCTTTATGGCACAGAGCATACAGCACACATTTCACAGGCATGCTGTCAGGAGAGCTCCCTGGTATATCCATATTGGAATAAATGTATTGTTCTCCCTTCCTGCTGAAGGCTGAATTTTTTTATTTATTTTTTTAATTTTAGGTTAATAAGGATGACTTCCAGTTTTGAAACTACAGATAATGAGAAGTTACAGGGCATGAAGTATTTAAAACTAGATTTGATTAATTCCAACATATTTATCTGAAAATTCTTGGAAATACTTGCTGCAATACGTGATCTTCAAATGATGCAGCATGCCATTCCCTCCCTTGCTGAGACAGCTCTGGAAAGAAAAGTGGAACCACATCATCACCACTTCTTCTTCACACTGGTCTCCTTTTAGGTATTAGGACTAGCTAGAACTAATACCTAATACCCAAAAGAATGATTCCTATTAATAAGAAATATCTGAGGAAACTTAAAAAGAAGGTGAACAACCCCCGTTAATTTCCAGAACATTGGAAGAAAAGCAAAGTTAACAGAAATACATTTGTTCTTAAAGAGCAACCCAGAATACTGCCAATTTCATGAGCACCTAAAAGCCCGGAATACTAACAAACTGAAATTGCCCAAAACCCAGCAATGCCACTGGAAGTTCCTGAGGACGTTTTAAATAACACTGCACATTCTTATGGGTTTTTTCTTGCACTGTTATAAGCAACAGAAACAAAGAAAACACACACAGTACTGATGCAGGATACTAATCTCCCTATCAGAAAAAAAGGGAAAAAACCCAACCACAAAAACCTCTATTACTCATTCTCTTTTAAATTATTTTCATAGCACAGAAATTACACACACAAGATAACAGAGAGGATAACTACTTCCCATAGCTATTCCAGAGGAAAACCTGAGACAAATTTACAAAGTCACAGCCTTTTATACAGCTCAACCTGTCCTGTGCCTGCAAATATTGAAAGATAAACACATCTATGCATACTCAAATACTACTCAGTATGTACAGCAGTATACTTGTTATTTGCTGATGCTTGTATGCACTTAAAGAGGGAGGGTACACCGCCACAGGGAGAAAGTGTAGACAACCTTCTACTAGAAAATAAATCAAAACCACCTTTATGACCTTGATTATACTCAGAGACACTCATTCTAGTTCTGCTTCAGACTGGTAGGAGGAAAATGCAAATACAGTCTTTGAGTAAGACATGTTGAGTTCTTCATCTGTTTATCAAGCCTTACTTTTGGGTTTTAATCAACTGTTTATACAGTGATCATTGCATGCTGGTGTACCCATCATCATATCCACCTTTCATGCAAAATCCATTTATCAGCAAGGTTAGGGGCAACTGTACCTCCACAGTTCCTGTCAATTGTTTTCTGCTTATCTTGAGAGCCCTCCTGGTGTGGATCACAATGGGGGAAAATCCATCCCTGCATCTCACTGTGGTTATCATTTTAATTCCCATTCCTACCACCTCCACTTTGAACTTTCACTGCTGCAATTTCAGATCTTCACTTCTTGTCCTAACCAAAATGATAGAGAACAGATTACCTTCTTCCACTGCAGTACATTTTGTACATTACAAGACTCACATGTTTCTTAGTTAAATTCCCCTTTACAGAACTCTTTCCTCTAAGCCGTGTTTTCTAGGACTTGGGTTAACTTGCTATGCCTTGGATATTCTCCAACTGATCCAAATCCTCCTTGAGGTGCAGCCCTTGGAAGGACATTGCCTGACTACCATGTATTGCCACTACAGGATCAAACAGAAAAAATCAGTTATTTTACAAATAGCGCTTCCATTTATAGACCCTAATGTCAGCCTTATTATTGCTGCCAAGGAATCAGTGTCAAATCACAATCCACGACATCTCCCCAAGGCTGGGCTTTTTATTTTGTTTTGATTCCCAAACCCCTGCCCTGGGCTGCCATCTGCACCTCGTTATTTCCCAGTTCTGAGATGCCAGTATTATATGTTAAATTGAGAATTTGATTTTTTTCAAGCTGCCTCTCTAGTGATAACCATGAAAACCTAACTCTATCCTTTCAGGCTGCACAAATGTTTTGAAAGTTCCATAATCTGCAGATCATTAAATGAAAACAGTGAAGAGGGACTTGATAAAAAAATTGTTTCCTTCCTGTAAACTCAATAATCATGCTCATTTTATTTTCCAAATGTGGTTTTCTCTAATCCATATTTCTCCACCTTGTTTATAAGAATGTCATTCAATACAACATCAGGAACCTTATTAATGTCAAAATATAGGACATCTACTGCCTCCAGCAAACAACTCTGCTGTTCAGAAATCATCCAGGCACCACCACATGGGATCCACTCATGAACAGGAGTGTTAGGTTCAAAATGCAAAAAGCATCATACAAAAATAGGAGATATTTGCCTTGGCAGGGGGGAGATATAGACAACTGACCATTTTTCCAGACTAGCGGTTTAAAAATACTAATTGGACAAATAATTCTGTTGCTCATTTAAAATCATTAACATTTCCAGCTCTTCCTGTGACTGCCCAGAGGTGATTTTTCTCTGGAGACTGTGCCTCTAACAGTGCCATTGTACTGGCAGCAGTCCCAAGGGCTCCTCAGCTGGCACACAGGGTGCAAGGTCTCACTGTGCTGCCAGCTTTGCAAACACTCTGCTGCATGTTTTATTAAAGAAGGTTTAGAAAGGAGAGCAGTCCCTTATTGATGACTCAAACACAAGAACGCAGAAAACAAATATCAGGATCAGCACGGAACCGTCAGCGGTGAGGTGGAGTTACGAGGACAGTGCCCACAGTGTGGCAGAGCAGACACAGTAACTGCATCAGCTCCTGCCATTCATGCCACAGCACAGACTCTTAAAGGCAGGAAGGAAAAATCTAGAAATAACATTTCTGAGCGAGATATGTTACCACTCCACTTAACAGAGCATGGAGGCAAAGACATAAACGCATTTAGTACTACAAAGGTAAGTGTCGACAGAAAACCGAAAAAGGCAATGAAAATCAAAAACCCAAACAGCTCACAACTTCTTTCATAGCCATAAGGGTTACTTGTCAATTTTCTGTGGGCTGACATCCTTTTAGGAAAATAACCAATAAAGAATTTCTGGTCTGGTCATAAGTATGGACATACTTCACAGGACATTTAACGTGTCTGGAGTTATGACACAAATCACAAGAAATTCAAGTAATCAGCATGTCTTGAAATAACATGGGAACATGAAAGAAGTCTGGTTTGTAACAGATGGATAACAACTGCAAAGCTGGTGCTGGCTCCCATCCTGACATTGTGGGATTGCCAAATGATTGGGGTGAATGTGGACTTTGTGGAGATTTGAAAAAAATCTGATAATTTAGGGATAGGTGGAATTTTACATTAAAAGCGAGACTTTTTTCATTGCTCAAGAGGCTCTGATAACCTTACCTTCTTTTATATATGAGAAAAAAGTGGTTGTCATGCTCCCCTTCTTTCGTCCACTGAACTTTAATAAGCAATAATGGATATTCTCAGAAATTTTTATATTTCACTCTAATAACCTGAAAATTCAAATAATCAACATCAAGCACACAGCAAGTGAACTGGCTGGGTTCCCTTTCAGGAAGATTAGAGACCTTCATGTCCAGAGAAAAGAATTTGAGACAGGCACAAACTCCAATAGACCAACTTTTCTCTTTTAAAATACCCTGGAAAGTTACAGAACTTTTTTATTCTTTACTATCATCATTTTTCAGAGAAGTCATACAGAGCATACAGACAGGTAAAAAATAGATGTGGAATGAATAACCCTGTCCCCTAGATGAAATATTCAACCATTAGCAAGATTTATGGAAGCACAAGCATGTGCATTCCATATGCCAGCAAGTCTACCCTTACAAAACAAATTTCTGAGCTATCTATCTGATCATACACTTCCCAAGGCCTTCTTGCCCTAGTTTGAACAATTTAAAATGCAAAAATATGTCATTTAGCTGCAGACACACAGTAAATAACACCCAATAATATCCTCATCAAAAGCTGGTACAGCAAAAGAAAACTTCTATTCAAATGTTTAATTAAATTGTAACATTTATTTTAAAAAGCAGACCAATTTAAGAAATTAGTATTTATTTTTGCATTTATTCCCTTAATTGTAATGCTGTATGGTCAAACATTGCTAAACTGATAGATTGAGAACTGTCAAGCAAGAAGGATCTCATGCTGTGTACACTGAGGCACTGATGCCAAATTTAGGGAACCGTCAACGGACACAGGATCTCCTTGAGACAACACAAAGTACCAAACCCTGCCTTGCCCAGATGGGAACTGGAGCAGACTGACTTCACACCTTGGATATCCATGAGTAGCCATCAAAAAAAGACTGGGAATATTTTTTTCCGAACAGTAAAAATCTTATTTAGCCACTCTGTCACACAGGTGAGAGCAGAATGTTTCCATGGGTAAAACTCCAAACACTGATGATACATTCCCAAAAAATCTGGAATACAAACCCTTTTATTAAAGACTCCAGGCATCACCACACATTCACAGAAACAGGTTTTATGAGAGACCAGCAACACAGCTCAAAAGAGGTACAACACACTTCAGACTGCATGTTCCCGTTGCAGCAATGATGACTTGAGATGAAAAATATCTCTTATGCAAACTTCTTTAAAGGGTGAAAACTTTTGGTTAACATTTATTTGATCAGATTTTAGTGAGAGATAAGAGCTCTGAATCTCTTCTAGCTGTGTTGACCAGAAAACTACATTGACATCAGCTGTTCCCACACACGCTACAGGAAATAGCACTGACTTCTTGATAGATCTGCCTTCTGCAGACAGCTGCAATGCAGTGGACAAATTCTAAGAGAACCAAGGGGCTGAAAATAGTCCAGGTTAAAGTACACAGAGCTCCACATCAGCTCATCTGCCCTTCTTTGATTCTGTAAGAACAGATGCACACTATCTGCTAATTATCTTCCTCTATGCAACAGACTCCGATATTTTGCTCAGATATTTTTATAGCATACTTTGATATTTTTATCATGATTGGAAAAACAATTTAGATAAGGAAAGATCTAACTAAAAGGCTTGCCTAGTCATCATTCTCATAATTATTTAGGGCTTACATTCATCCTTCCTATGGAAGCAGTTTGCAATCTATTCTGAACAACTCGCTAGGGATGATAGTGCTTGAGCTGAGAGCTGAGCTTCTTCGAAGGTCAGACACTCATGGAATAACCATTATGCATAACCAAATTAGGAAATTTGGATATATATTTGTAATAACAGAATTATAAGCCCTCAATGCAAGGTATTGCCTCCTTTTTTACAGACTGAGTAGTTTTTGGCTGGTCAAGAGGTCTCATGTGTTGACTTAAGAACATGTGGAACCAACACTGTTGTTTTTTCAGTCCCAGCTGGAGTCTCCCTAGTGAGCTGTGTTCTACCTTCTGGCTAAAATACTTGCCATAATCATCCAAATCCTTGAAGGTAAAGATGACTTTTAAAAAGACCCAAAAATTAAAAAAAAAAAAAATTAAAAACCACATAGAACAAACAGCTGCTCTACGTTGCCTTGTGCTTTAGAAAAACATGCTATATTCCAAACCACAGTATTTTCCCTGTAAGAGAAAGAAAAATCACAAAATGTCATTGTAGCTGTAATCCTACTCACCTCTAGAGCAGCCATATTAGCATCTCAGAATTCATTCACAATAACACTTTTCTAGTCCAAGAAGAAACAAACTCAAAGAAGTAGTCAGAGGAGCTTGACTTGGTGGGAGGTGCTGGCTGATGCTCAAACAGGAAAGACACGCTCCAGCCCTTTCAAAAAAAGCTCATCTTCCAACAGCAGATTTCATACCCAGGAAAAAAAAGGGCAGTTTTAATCAGGCTAGAGAGCTCCCTGTAAAAGCAAGTCATTCTAAGATGTAAAGTATGAAAACATGCTACAATGCCTGCTCATATGTGGCCATTACAACCATAAAAATCATCCTTAAATGATAATTACATCACTACTTTTACAATTTAGTGTCTGGTAAAATTATGGCCATACCATATGTAACAGGCATATTGACCTAATTTATCAAATATCTTTTTTTAAAATTCTTTAAAACCAAAAGCAATTTGGCATCCAGCCATAGAACAAAGTGTCCCTGCGTACAGTTTCAAGGCCAAATAAGAGCTAGCAGATATGTAAATATGTGCAAATAGGAACTCACTGTTCAGTTACAAAAACCTACCTTCAAAAAAAGGTGACTAAAAGTCTGTTCATGGATCACTCAGCAGCACAAGTTGACAGGAATGTGCACAGTACAAATGCTACTTATATTTGCATCACTTTCAAGAATCCCCATCCAAAATACTTTATTTAAAGTATATTTTTAATATATATTTTTGTATGTATAAATAGAAAAATTATCTGACAGAGATTCAGATCTCTGACATCTTCTCTCAGCATATTTCAAATATTTCCCCTGTGCTGCTGTGTTCATAATTCAATTACAGTCATAAAGAAACACACAGATATCAAAGTTAAAACCACCATTTTATTTTTTAAGAAAGTTAACATATTTAGCAAGAAACTTGTAATTTTATAATACAAACAAGTTTTCCACACCTATACAATCAATTCTACAGTAGTATCAGCAATACATAAAGAGTCACTGAAAGGGGTAAAAGGGAAAAATAGGAAAATGGGAAAGGAAAAGAGGATAAGAGAAAGAGAGAAAAAGATCAAAGAGGCAAAAGACAAAAAAAAAAAAAAAAAAAAAAAGAGACAGCTATGTTGTACATAGCACACTGTAGGGAAAAATGCTAATTTTGGACAAAGTGAGATGCCAGCTTTTCTGCCATCATAGCAAAATGTAAAACCCAGTTCTTTAGTTCCATCTTTCCAAAATGAATAAAAATAGAGAGAAGTAAAAGATATTTCTTCTTGGGCAGCAAGACAAGAACTTGACAGGAAATCAGGTTGATTTTGCAGGAGAAAAGTGTCATGCATTTACCTATAATGCTGTGGAAATTGCAGGACTTGAAGAAAGTTGTTCTTGAAATCTGAAAGGAAAGCAATAATCTGACTAGTACATGTGCTGTGCATGTACCACCACTACCTACCTGTGCTACAGCAACACAAACATCTTACAGCATAAGGACATTACACTTACAGAACTTTGATGCACGTCTGCTCCCCTGCACATCCCTGTTAGCTGTTTGTGGAGAATGAGAAGTTCCTTGGCATGGATACCACCCCTATGAGAATAGTTCTAACAGGATAGGAGTCACTAATGTTGCTCTTTATATTACTCATTTCTGGTCTGCAAAGAAAAGATAGAGAGGGACCATAGGTAAAATGAAAAAAAATCTACTGTTCTGCTCTTTGTCCCTTTACTGAATTTTCCCCTAATTGCGTGTCAGGAAGGGGTTACAAGCTTCCAGTCACAAAAGCCCCCATAGGAATAAAATCATAATTCACAAGCAAAATTGTAACTTACCAGCATTTCACTATTGTTGTCTGCACAACATTTTGGTGCAGATCATTCTCCCAGAAGTCAGTTGTTGAAGGGATGATTGTTCCACCAACAAACTTGGTTCCTTGGAGTGCCCAGATGTTCACTGATGGGCTCCCACACAATCAGATTCAGGTGCCTGCTGTGCTTTTATGGAACTTGTTCCCACAGCAGCCCAAAATAGGTGTGTTTGGCTTGAATAAAGCTGGGTCTGATACTGGACAAATGTTCACTTCTAATGTATGCTGTCAATTAACTGTTTAAGAAAATGGCTTAAAGTGGTAATTTTACAGGAAACTGATGTGTAAGTTTATGCAAAATTCACCAAATACTCAAATAATCAACTTTGACACATCAACAAAGTGCCTGGATTCAGCAGAGTAGTTGATTCCATCCATGCCATTGCAGACTCCTGCTGTTAACAAGGTTTTTCCAGTGTTGCACAGCACCAGCTCACATCCTGTCAGAGTGGAAAGGTGTGTTCTCACAGCCAAATACTGACTCCCACAGTGTTGTTTCTATTATGTTACCCTGTTTGTGTGTGAGATTATTGGCTGGGCTCAGGTACCGTCTCGAATTCTGGCTGCAGTGACACATCAGTCACCAGATGAGACAGGCTTGTCTGAGAGGAAGTGCACAGTGGATTGCTCTGCAGCTGAGGAGTAGAAGTATGACATACCACAAGTTCCAAATCTCTGCATTAAATCTGTGCTCTATACCAAATAAAGACAACTTTTATGTTGTACAGTCATAGAATACAGAGAATTGCCTTTTCAATCCATGTAACAACAAAGATGTTACTGAGACAACTATCATAATGAAAATTCTGAGATTATCCGGGGAAAAGAACCCTTATTTTGAGAGTTTTTAAACCATAAGAAGTGGTGACAGAGACACTTCAGTCTATATAATGGGAATAGTACCAGTGTTAATGAATAAAGAAATATGGAACAGATTATACCACACTAGATTATACATGGAAGAAAAACTGCACCTTTAACTATTTGTTAGATTGCAAGGCTACTTGTGCAGCATGCTGATTTATTCAGAGCATTCTCATGGTATTTTCATTCTGTTACATGACTCAGAACTTTTCACAATGCAGGTCACGCAGCACTGAGGTTCTATTTCAGATCAGTAATGGTAAATACTTATTCCTGATTCTGTAAGGCAGATGTAAGATCCTAGGAAAGGAAAAATCAGAGAGAAACCTGAGCATAACAGTGAGGAAATTTAATTGAAGTTATCTGGGGAGGTTTTTCTATCTCTGTCCTTGGAGTTTTTCTAGACCAGACTGGACAAAGCCCTGAGTAACTTGGTCCGACCACAGAGCTGACCACTTTTTTAATAGATAAGACTAAGGACCTCCTGAGGTCCCTTCAATCCTGAATTATTCCTGAAGTACGACTTGAAATATAAGTACATCTTAATCTATTAAGTGACTTCTCTTTCCTCACGTAAAAAGCAACATAAAAAAAAAAAAAAAATCACAATTTCTGCGTAAGAAAAAGGGCAAAAATAAACCCCAACTTTTATAAATACAACATAAATTATAAAGACTAAAATCTTTATTTCTCGCAACCACTTAGACACCCTTTCCTTTATAAATGCTCATTCACAAAACATGTTTCAGGCTACTTAGAGTAAGAACAGTATTATTCATGTTTCATTTTTGCTCAGAACAAATGCATATCATGAGAAAGTCTATCCAAGAGTTAGAATATTTCATACATAAAAGGTATCTTGAACTGTCCAAATAATTTTGGACAGTGTGTCAAAACCACATTGGATACTCTGAGTGGTATAGGTATCAAACATTTCTAAAACTAGAATAGTTTACCTGCGTAGACCTGCACAGCAAGGCAACATCTCAGTAAATTTGCAGTAGCACTTTCCACATCAACTACAGTGGTGTCAGATGGATAGAAGAAAGAAGAATCAGCCAGAGGATAACTCCCCTAGCATGGCCAAAATCTGGATAATATAAGGCTGAATTATTTTAAAATGAATGACTACTGTCATAAGCAATACTAATTTTGACTTCAATGTATAAACTTAAGACATAGGAAAATAGGATTGCTTTCAGTAACAGAAAGTAGCTTGTTTTTGCTAAATACTGGTGGGATTTGATCAACCTGGCTAGCAGTACCAAATAACAAGAGCAAATGAAAACAAAATTAACTTGTCTCACAAAGCTCCCATCATTAGCAAGGTGTGATCAAGGGATGATAATATTTTAATTTTTAACTTCGCCAAAGCTGCTTCTAATTGAGTTTCTTCTCTCTTATTCCACCAAAGTAAAATTACATTTCTTAGGCCTGTCTACTTGGAAGGTTAACCCTTCCTCAACCCAATCTAATGTCATAATCAAAACTAAAGATGATCTTATTATTCACTCTTTTACTTGCTGAAACAAAACTAATTAAATTGTTTTCCTGTTCAGATGCAATATTTTGCATTTGAGTATCAGTAAGAAAAAGTAAAGAAAACTTGGATTTTGGAAAAAAAAAAACCCAAAACTAAATCACCCAAACAAAAAAATTACAACCCTGCTGGAGATTACAGATAATGTCTTTAACAAGAGCTACTGAAGAAGGTTAAGCTCATATTTGAGAGATGAATCTCCAAGTCCTATTCCAGAAACTTAGGACAAATGGACAAGTAGTGACCCAAATACAGAACACACTCACCAATCTGGTGTCTTGGCTTTCCCCTCAAGCAGCAAATTAAATTCTTGTCAGAGAAGGAACCTAATGAGCGCAGCCACATCTCACCCCAGCCCAACTGCTCTCCCTGAGAAAACGAGGGATCCTTGGCCAGGGTGGGTAAGAGCTGATCCCATTTTGGTTGTTGTGGGTTTGTAAACAGGCCAGAACACCGAGTCAAATTTAATCTGAATCCACAGTTCTGCCATGACTCAAATGTTCATTTTCATTCTTCCCCCACTTCAGTAATTCAGCATGAGCTGAGGAGCATTAGCAAGAGCACTGCCATTAACTGAGTTGCTGCTATCAGTGACCAAGAGCAAATACAGATCAGACTGACAACAGACTCCAGTGCCCTCCTGCCCCTAGATGTTTTGAAAACTAATCTAAAAAAAAGGCATTTATTCTTTAATGTAATTGATGAACAAAAGACAATTGTAGTTATATAAAGGGGGAAAGCCCTCTAACTTCGGAAATAAAATGACTGTAGAAACTTATTTCACTTCTTTTCACAGGTATATGATCACTGTGTGATAGTCACAGTTTCCATTGTCTTCTAAAGTAAGAGATATGAGGTCCAGGGATTCCAGTGCCTGAGAAATATTACTATTTCATAAAAGCTGTATTATGTTGAAGAAACTATTTAATTTTGAAAAATATAGTAACTTTCTTTAGTAAGCTGATAAGTAACCTGATACCATGAAGAATAAGCCATTATTAGCTTTCAGTACCACCTCCATCCCTTTCAATGGTCTAAAAAATTTTTAAAAGAAGACCTAACCACATGTGCCATCCAAAGAAAATAATAAAAATAAAGTATAATGTCAGATCACACCCTACACCCTGCTAAGATATGTAACAATATCACATTAGTTTTCCAATAGCACATATAAATACTTATTTTTCTTGAAGAAATCACCAGTTACAGGCATCTGAAAAGAATACCAGACTACAAAGTAATGCCTAAAGTATAATATTTTATGCTAAAGAGATCCTAAAAAATAAAGCAAAAAATAAAGGTGAATATTTACCTCGTTAAAGACCTTCTCAAAATAGGACAGTAAAGTGTAAACCCGTCAGCTTTCCATACTTCCACATAATTTAATGGATATAAGATTATCAGAGATTTTGCTAGAAATAGATTTTTTTTTCTTTTGGAAAATATCTTTCTTCACAAGAGATGCTTTACTGGACATGTAATTTTTTTCCCAAACCTTAGTAAATACATTTGATACTTTCTGGATATAGACTTTTTTAAAAGGGCCCTTTTTTGTTTCCATTAATCCCTTGATAAAATGCAGGATTATTTAGAATAAGGAAAAATTTACTCTTGTTCAAACTGAATATAAAAGACAAAAAACATTAAAAGTTTTAAAACCATTTGATTTTGTTTCTGTCCTTTTGATTATATAGGTACTCCATATTCAACTATAGAATGATAAAAAAAGAAGAAAAAAAGGCACTTAAAATTATTAGCTTCTCGGTGGAAATCTATGTTGCCAGTATGGTCTGACGGGGCTGATAGGCACAGATGTATATTGCATTCCCTTTTAGATTTAACTCCAGGTAGCTTGAAAGCATTAAGAGTCTGTTGCAGAGCTCCTGTAAAATTCTTTCTTCATTTGCAAACACTACATCACCATGTAAGTGCTATGAGAACTCCCAGGATGCAGAGTCTGCTGCAAAGACGTGAGATAGAATGAAAAAAGGAAAATATTTCCCTCTTGCCTACCTGTAGGGTAATAACTCTTGGGTGTTTTTTGAGCTCCAGCCTGAAAGCCCAACCCCAGCTGGGTGTGGGTGGTGTTATCAAACCCTACAAACACTGGTTCCCTTGTACACAGCCCACCCTGATCATATGCACTGATGGCGAGTCTGAATTTCCTTCCCCTCTTCAGACGACACAGAAGAATCATCTACTGCTGGGGATTATTTTAGCTCTTCCTGAATCATCCTATCTCCACACTGAAGAGGAGTCAAGGATTTCCTGTTCATTTTCAGTGTGCATTACGCCACTGAAATTATACCTTTTCTCTTCTCAGCATGCTTGAGATGAAATTTCTGAGGACAAATAAAGAACAAAGTACCTGTCCCAAAGAAGTCACGCTAGAAGCTGATGGTGCCAAAATGGCAACAGACATAGTGGAATTCATCACTGTTTGCTCAACAACACGTATCTCTCCTCCACATACAGTGCTGTACAGGTTGAATTGGAACAGAGTCCAAATTAAGAAATCTGAATAGGAAGATGATGAACAAGATGAAAAAAGGGGCACTTTGATAAGACCATCTGCTGAGAGAGGAATATCCTCTCTGCAATGGCCATGATGCAAAACAGTCTCAAGCTGAAGAGACAATGGAGATGCAATACACATTAACTTTGATAAAAGGAAGGAAAAAAAATTAACAACTTTTAAAATTCTAGCTGTCAGTGGCCCAAGAATCATGTGTTTAGCTTTCACTTAGTGTGCAATTGTTGGAAGTCATGTGTCACCATGGTATCCTCCTGTGCTGAACACCCCACTGCTGGGGACCTGCAGCTTCTCGCCTGGCATCAAACACATTCGCCTCTAACCCAGAAAAGCCCTGCCTGGTCAGCTCCTGGAGCTCTACCATTTGTCCCGTGTGACCTGATTACAGCTTTGATCCATGGCCAGAGCAGCCATCTGCAAAGTACTCAAAGCTCCAGCAAAAGGCGGCTTTGATTTCTTTTCAGCGCCTTAAAAGTGCTCATAAAGTCACCTTGAGCACACAAAGATGATTTCTCTTTCTCTTGTTGATGAGATTTCACAGATGATCTGATCAGAAAGTGTTTGGTACTGGGCTGCACTGCCAGGGGCAGGAATGATACTCTTTTGACTCTGTTTCTGGCTTTTTCCAG